ACTCGGCGGGAGGGGTGGGGCAGGTAGGGCGGAGTGGTGGGGGGCGGCCCAAGGGGGTGGGAGAGGGTCCGGCCCACGCTGCGCCTGGGCTGGGACTGGACCCGCCGGCGCAGGGTAGCAGGAAACTCTCCGCACACTCACCGGACCTGGGCTAGGACTGGGTCTCTGTTCTCTTGACTCTTGCGGGCTGTTTCTGCTCCTCTCCCTGCTCGCTGGAGTCATACAGCATAGGGTTCGCAACTCTTCTTTACACAGTACACCAGGGCAGCCAATGCCTTCGTGTTGTGCAGTCTCTCTGTGCAGGTTGTCATTGCAGACCAGCACCACGGGGTAGAGGAGGTGAGTGTGCACAAAGGCACACTCGAGACAGGTTATAGGCATCATACTCCACTCGGTACTTGCAGCAAGGGTCAGACTGTCAGGAGATCCCATAGAGGGTGCAGCAGGCCAAGCTCAACATGCCAGCAGGCAGGGAGATGCAGTGGGAGTGATCCAAGGGCAGTGCCAGTGGGGCGAAGAGGCAGGCAGTGCCAACCAGCACAGCTGTCTCATGCAGGCAGTTGCCCACGGTGATCCAGTGCTCTCATCACCAGTTTGGGTGGGCTCAATGACAGTGCACTGTACTGGGCTTCCAGGGCCTAACCCAGCTCGTACTCACACTGGTCCTGGGCGGTCTCACCATTGTAGATCTCGTGCATGGTGTAGCAGTCCGTGGCCTACAAGGTTACCCTCTTTCTGACACTGTCACTGCTGCTGCCCAGGTCCAGATGCCTCCTTCCCCAAGTGGACCTCTTGGAGACACTCCTGTGTGGGTCTTTAAGATATGAATATAAATTACTGACAGAGCAGAGAAGCAAATGTATTATTTAACATATCTCACTATAGCTGAGATCTTAAGTGTCTACTCTGTATCTCCCAACATGGAGCCATTAGGAGGTGACGCTTTGGGGAGGTGGGACCTAGGGAGAGGACTTTGGGTGGCAAGGGCATGACTTGGAAGGACTGCGGGACCCTGGCCTCTTTCGATTGTTGGCCATCACGTGAGCAGTTTTGCTGTCATGCTGTCCTTGTCATGTTGTGCTTCCTCGTCACAGGACCCATCACGCATGGACTGAGCCCTCTAAAACTGTGAACCAAAACAAGTGTGTTCTCTTTATAAATTGTCTCAGGTGCTTGTTACAGGAAGAGGAAGCTGACGGACATGCATATTAATTTTGCACCCATTGCATTTCAAGTCGAAGTACTAAACATGATGGCGGTATCTTTTTCTGCTTCTTAATTAGAAAATTAAAACCTAAAGCAGAAGCTTCACACTTCCAACACAAATGTGTGCTATGCTCCAGGGTAACGAGATGACATCAGCAGTAGCTTTCTACAAACAGCTGGCGACACTCTCCCTAGGATTTCCCACTTCCCGTAAGGTTTCCTGAAACACCGAGGTTCTCTAATTCACAGAAAGAGGAACTGTTTACTATCTTTTTTTTTAATCCCTGCAGTCATTGTGATTTTTGTGGGTATTGGTTTTTGGTTTCGGTTTTTCTTCTTTATTATTTGCTTTTGATTCTCTCCAGGTTCTCTCAGTTCCTGGGGGCTTTTCTGGGTTTTCTTTTCCTGTGACCTCAGAAGCAGAAGATTTGTGTCACAGATGCTGGTCTGATGCCTCAGGGGAATTTCCAGTCAGGCTCCCCTTCTTTTTGTCTCTGCAGAACTCGAGAGGATTGGCAGGAGCAGCCTAAGTGGCTGCCTGGCTCATGGTGTAGCGTTCCAGAAGGGACACAGAGACTGTATCTCTACACACTGTGTTTGCATGTGTCACAATGAGGCCTGCAGAGTGCCTGGCAGGTGCCCTGCCTAAGACTTTAGCCACTTCCATTGCTGGAACAAAATACCTAGCAGTGCCTGCAACTTAAAGAGAGGTTTCTTTTGGCTCCTGGTTTTGGTGCAGGGTTGCCTGGCTCCAAGGCAGAACGGCAGGGTGAAAGGCCATGGCCACCGGAAACTGCACACCCCATGGCAGATAGGAAGCAGAGCAGGAACTGGGGACCTGGGAACAAGAATCCACCCTTTCAGTTCACACCGCAGTGACCCATGCGAACCGGGCCCCGCCTCCTCACAGCACGGTCAGCTCTGAATTCACCCAAGGACTAGCAGGCTGATGAGTACGGCACCTGGCAATCCGATCATCTTCCAAAAGTCCTGCCTCTGAATACATGAGACTTGGGGAGGACAATTGAGATCTAAACCACAATGCTGAGTTAACTTTGCAGCCATATGGGGGCTACACACAGCTATATCCCATTCTAGGAAGTGAAAATGGGCATCAAGCAGAACCCCAGGGGCTGGGATCTGCGTCTGTTCCTCCACCCTACCCCTCTAGTGCTGTTCCCCTGCTCTCTTTCCATAAACCATACCTTGACACCATGATGTCTGGGCCTTGGAGCCAGTGCACCATGAACTCAATCCCCCAAAGCCATAAGGCAACTTAAGCTGCTCCTCCTTTAAATTGTAGGTGTCAAGGGCTGTATCAAGAAAAACTAACACAGGGCCTTAGACAGTGATCCTGAGAGCCAAGATCTCTCTCCAAACATGACCATGTATGTCACGACATTCTGAACACCCTCATCTATGTACCACATGAAGTGTGCCCACTCGTCTGTCCCTGGCTCATGTCCATCAGGCCACATACAGTCTTGTCCCTGAAAAGGCACCTCATTTGCCCTCTGGCTGGGTCAGTATCATTTAAGTCCATCCCTATAGGAAAATAAGCAACTCTAATCACAAAGGGGGATTTTCCTTTCCAAATAATGAAGGTGTGCTGCTTAGAGGGTGGGACAAACCCCGTGGTTTTGCCCCCTTCCTCCTCTATTGCCTGGGTTCAGATGTGACCACTGTCATGGAAACCCATATAAGGCCAGACAGCTCATGCCCCAGATTCCAGGTGGAGGCAAACCTTGGGAACTTCAGGGAACTAGGATGCTGCTGAGATGGTGGAGAGAAAGGAACTCCAAGAAGCAACCCTCAACGTGGTCCATAAACTGAGCACAACCCAATGGGCTGGCACCACATCTGAGCCGTCCTTGTCTCCATTAGACTATGTGGGATCCAGAGAGCACAGTGGAGGCTTTGAATGCAGCCTCCATTGGGACCACGGCCACGGAAACAGTTGGAACTCATACCTGAAGCCTGACTGCCTGCCAAAACAATTAACATGCTCCATGGAATTTAAATAAAACCTAGATTACATGGTTTAGCCTTCAAAACATAGAGTTTACAAACCAATATGACTCTCCTACAAGGAACCAGGACAGTCTCAACACACAGGATAGGATTAGCAGCAGGCACTGAGGTGGCAGATTGGGAATTAGCTGGTATATTGATTTGCTGTCACCAGTTGGCACAAACAGTGAATTAGAACAACACAGATTAATTTTTTCCAGTTATGGAAGTTGAGAGTTTAAAACTGGTCCAAATCTCCCTTTGATTGGCTAATTTATAAGCTCACTATAATAAAAAAAAATGGGGAATAAAAAAGGAACTGTATAGGTAAAGTTTATACTCTCTAATTGAAATGATAAAAAGAGATTTTAAGTGGAACGATCACTAAAAATATCATACAAACAAATAGAGCAACAACCACAGGAGATAAGCCAAAGTGGAATGCGAGTGGTGCTCACCTTCACCTAAAGCAGCAGAAAAGGGAACAAAAGCCACAGGGAAAAAAGGAAAACCAAATAATAACATGATGGAGCCACCTCAATTCAAGCACATCAGGAAATACATGAGCTATAAGTCATCTAAACATAAGCTAAAAGACAAATTATCCAATGTACAAAAAGTTATGAGCAATTTGCAAGCATTTACATAAAGTCAGTAAATTATGCAAGAGGATAGAAAAGGACATCGTCCATCTGTGACAGTACATGCAGGCAAGTCACAGTGTAGACGGCACCACCAAAGCAAGCAGATCGTGTGGATGTGTCGGACTCAGGTTGGAGACATTGAGTGAAATACAGATGGTCTCTGGGACAGAGGCCCCTGCCGGACGTGCTGTCGGGTCTGCCTTGGGAGAGTCTGCACTCTTGGCTCTTGCCTAGTGGTCAGGGAAGAGGAAGAGGCCTGAGACAGGGTGGATGGAGCACAGCTGTCTCTTTTGCAAAATGTTTGCAAAAGGACCCTGTGATTCCTTAGATGGCAGAGGTTATGTGTGTACTGGGAGGGCTCCAATGGTACTTGGACTGTGGCACTAGGGCGGAAGGGAAGCAGAGAGAAAGAAGCTGGAAAGACAGAGATGGAGAAAGAAAGAGGGAGACAAAAAGGGAGGAGAAAGTAAAACACAGGAGAGACAAAGAAATAGAGGGCAAGAGGGAAAGAAAGAAAGAAAGAAAGAAAGAAAGAAAGAAAGAAAGAAAGAAAGAAAGAAAGGGAGAGACAGACAAATGGATAGATGGAGAGGGAGAGTGAGAGCAAGAGAGAGTGAGATTCCTCAGGCTGGTCAAGGCCTCATGGCAACCTAAGACAGACCACGAAAGGGCAGCTGAAGACAGGCCAAGGCCTGGGTCTTCCTCAAGCAACTCCAGTGAGTGTGTATGAGAGCTTCTGCGCTCTCTTGCCGTCCCTCCTCATACCCCTCCAGACCCAGCCCAGACCTGGCATACAGGCTTGCAGTGAAACCCTGCAGCTAAAGTCCCTGCAGTGAGACTAGGTCAAAACCACACAGCTAATCCAAGAACAGAACATCTTACCAGAGGGGTACAGTAGGCCCACCTCCAAGGGCAACAACAATAAGGAGCTGAGCACAGTAGCCAGACCCAAGCCAGGCACAACTGCATGAACTAGAACTTGGTATATCAGTACCTGAATTTCATTAGGTGATAAGGATATAACTTCACCAAAGGTCAGAGGTCAGTACTATATGAAATGATAAAAACAAGGAGCAAAATGCAATCTCAGGCCTTGAGCCCACCAATAACAAGTGCAGAAGACACTAGCTCTGCTAAAATATATGAATCAATAGCATCAGAAGTAAATACACAACAGCAGAAAGATATAGAGGAACTCAGAGCAGAATTAATTTCTGGAACAGAAAAGAAAACTCTGAATTCATAGCATCTGAACTAAAGAATCAAAAGCAGAAACATATAGAGGAAACACAATGCCCACCTAGAACAAGTGCAGTGGACACTAGCTTAGCTCAAAATATGAATTAATAGCATCAAAAGTAAATAAGCAACTGCAGAAAGGTTTAAAGGAACTCAAAGCAGAATTAATGTCTGAAATGAAAAAAGAAATATCTGAATTCATAGCATCTGAACTAAAGAATCAAATACAGAAACATATGGCAGAAACCCAATCTGAAAAAAACTCTGCAGTAAAAGAATTAATAACTGCTTCTAAAGAAGACATTGATTAAAAAAATACAGGAGATTAAAAAATGATGGATTGGGCTGGTGAGATGGCTCAGTGGTCTAAAGCACCTACTTAGAACAAGCTTAGCAAAGCACATGGACCGCGGTTCAATCCCCCAGCACCACATGCCAGCCAGCCCCGCTCCCAGGCGGGCTGAGCTGGCCAAACACACACACACACACACACACACACACACACACAAATAAATAAATAAAATAAATAAATTTTTTAAATAAATAAATAATGATGGATTCCTTGAATGAGCAATACAGGAAAGAAATAGATCATATGAAGCAGAGTCAAAGAGATATAGAGGAACTTAAAATCTCAATAATAAGCCTGCAAAACAGTTTGAGTGAAAGTGATGACAGAGTTTCAGATCTTGAAGACACTGGTGCAACTAGTGAAAAGTTAAGAAAAGATCTTTTAAAAACAACTAGGATGCAGGAAAAAATAATTCATCACCTGAAAGATGATGCAAAGATGAACAATGTGAGACTAATAGACATCAATGAGAAAGAAGGACTCAATACAAATGATATAAAAAGAATATGGGCAGAAGTAATAGCAGAAAACTTCCCAAATATGAGGAAACAATCTGACATTCAAGTAACCGAAGCATGCAGAACGCCAAATAACTTCAACCCAATTAAAAACACACCGAGACATATAATAGTCAAGATCCCAGAAATCCAACACAAGAATATCATACTGAAAGCTGCTAGAGAAAAGAAGCAGATCACATTCAAAGGAAAATCCATCAGAATTATGGCCAACTTCTCTTCACAAACCATGAAGGCAAGAAGAGCATGGAGCAGAGTACTTCAAGTCCTCTATGAAAACAAATTCTAGCCTAGACTACTATACCCTGCAAAACTCTCTTTCAAGTTTGATGGAGAAGTGAAATACTTCCATGACAAAGAACAGCTAAAAAATTTCGCGATGACAAAGCCAACCTTACACAGGCTACTGAAAGATGTTCTAGAGACGAACCAAAATGATCAGAACTCCACCAACAAGAACAGAAGAAACCCACTAAATAGGACAAACAATTAAACACAGGAGAAAAAAAGAGTTAAAAAACAGCAGGTAAATAACATGTCAATCGTAATTCACCACATCTCAGTTATAACCATCAACGTAAATGGACTCAATTCACCAGTTAAGAAAAATAGATTGGCACAATGGATTAGGAAACAAAACTCAACAATATGTTGTATACAAGAAACACACTTAACTCATAAAGAAACTCATAAGCTGAAAGTCAAAGGATGAAAAACAATACTACATGCCCCAGCTCCTCAGAATAAAAGCAGGGGTAGCAATCTTGATCTCAGACAGTCTCAACTTCAAACCAAGAAGGATCAAACGAAATAAAGAAGGCCACTATATACTGGTTAGGGGGAAAATTCAAGAGGAAGAAATAACACTCATAAATATGTATGCACCAAACACGGGAGCACCCAACTATATAAGACAAACCGTAAAAGACATGAAAAACCTAATATCCAATACAATCATCTTAGCAGGAGACCTTAACAACCCCTTATCCTAAAAAGATAGATCAACCAGACAAAAAATTAGCAAAGAATTAGCAGAACTGAACCAGAGCTTGGAACAAATGGACTTGGTAGACATATACAGAGTGTTCCACCCAAACACAGTGCAATACACATTTTTTTCAGCTGCACATGGGTCATTTTCTAAAAGACCACATACTGGTCCATAGGTCATGCTTAAGTATATGTAAGAAAACAGAAATTATCCCATGCATATTATCTGACCACAATGCAATGAAACTGGAAATAAACAACAAAAGAAACCAGAAAAAAACCCTAAATACATGGAAATTAAATGACACCCTACTCAGCAATCAATGGGTTACAGAAGAAATTCAACAACATCTACAATTGAATGAAAATTCATCCACAACTTATTGGAATTTATGGGATACAAGGAAAGCAGTTCTCAGAGGGAAATTCATAGCTGTGAACTCACACATTAGGAATACAGAAAAAAAAAAAAAAAGGAATACAGAACAGAAGAAACACATAAATACCTTAATGCTGCACCTCCAACATCTAGAAAAGGAAAAGCAAACCAAACCCAGAGCCCAAAGACAGGAAGAAATCATAAAGATTGGAGCAGAAATTAATTCACTTGAGATGAAGAAAACAGTTCAAAGAATTAACAAATCAAAAAGCTGGTTCTTTGAAAGATTAAATAAAATTGATAAGCCCCTAGCTAAACTCATTAAAAAGAGGAAAGAAAAAATTCAAATACAAGCAATAAAGAATGAAAAGGGTGTAACTATCACAGACCCAGTGGAAATTCAGAAGATTATCAATAGCTACTTTGAGAATCTTTAGGTTCACAGGATAGAAGCCACAGATGAAATGGACAGATCCCTAGAAAGGCACGAATTACCAAAACTGAATCAAGAAGATATAACAACTCTCAATAACCCAATAACAGCCAATGAAATACGAAATGTAATAAAGAGCCTGCCAACAAAGAAAAGTCCAGGTCCTGATGGATTCACAGCTGAATTCTACAAGAAATTCACAGAAGATACAATCCCTACACTCCTCAAACTCTTCAATGAAATTGAAAAGGAAAGAGTTCTCCCAAAATCATTCCTGGAGGCAAGTATTATACCGATACCAAAACCAGGGAAAGACGCAACTAAGAAAGAGAACTACAGGACTCCATTCCCCAAGACCGATGGTGTCCCGCGCTCCGTGCAATCTCTCCAGCTCCCAGAGGGCAGGGCGGCGCCTTGCGCACCAGGCTCCGCTATGAACACCCGCATGCCCGGCCGGACAACCTGATGAACACGCAGCACTGCAACTTCCTCTGCCTGCCCGAGAACTACCAGATGAAGTACTACTTCTACCACGGCCTGTCCTGGCCACGGCTCTCCTACATCGCCGAGGACGAGGATGGCAAGGTTGTGGGCTATGTCCTGGCCAAAATGGAGGAGGAACCTGACGACATCGCCCACGGGGACATCACCTCGCTGGCCGTGAAACACTTGCACGGGCACCTCAGCCTGGCCCAGAAGTTCATGGACCAGGCCTCACGGGCCATGGTGGAGAACTTCGGGGCCAAGTACGTGTCCTTGCACGTGAGGAAGAGTAACGTGGGGGCCTTGCACCTCTACTCCCACACCCTCAACTTCCAGGTCAATGAGGTGGAGCCCAGCATTGTAGGTACTTGTATCAGCCACATCTGCTTCCTGATCCTGGCCTGGCCTGGCTGCTCTGCAACATCTGCTCTCCGATCATCTCACAGTGACCCAGGTGGCGTCTCATTTTCAGCTCTGGGGGATCGTGAAAAAATGTCTTGACACCAGAGCCTGCTGTGCAAGAGCCAGGAAGGCTGGAGGCCTGCCCTTACAGATCCTTGGTCTGTCTGCGTAGACTGTTTGTAACAATCCTAAGTTAGTTGTGGTTTTCCTGAAAGGTTGTCTCCTAGATACGAGACAGGAAGCTAGAAAAAGTCTGGAGGCTCAGAGCTCTCAATTTTTGCCATTAATTCATCTGGTTTTTCATTATTGAGAGAAGACAGTCAGGACCATCAAGTTAGACTTCATAACTCATTCCCCTTCTTTTCTGGTACAAGTATTGCATTCCTCTTCCTGTCTCTGAACTGTCCCTCTTCCTCCTAAGCACCCCCTTTTTGAAAGAATATTGTCCCCTTCCCTGGGGGATAAGGTGAGAAGGTTTTCTATTTAATAAGCAGAATTTGGAGATTTTATGAAAAAAAGATTATCTGCAATTAGAATGATCTACCTCTGTTAAATTTTTTTGTTTTGTTTTTTGTTGTAATAATGTAACTTGGGATTGATTGCTATGGTATTTACTAACAAGATATTCAATCTTATTAGCGACTCTGAGGTAGGCATTCATTATTCTTTTATAGCTAGCTAAAGAAACTGAAATAAATCTGAACCTAAAATCTGGACCCAAATCTATTTGAGTTAAAAGTCAAAGTTGCTTCTACTCTCTTGTTGCTATTGTTTGTATTTTATTTATAGAAATGTTAAAAATTCAACAGAAAGGGGACTCTACTGTTTAAATATGTAAAATTTTAGCATAATGTACAACTAATATGTCATTTGTTAATGTATATACATAAAACCTTCTATTACTATTCCCTTTTCAGTATCTTTCTCTAGTACAAATAATTAAAAATGAAGTATTTTGATCTTTGAAGTAAAAATAACTTGATAAATCCAAAAAAGAAAAAAAAAAGAGAACTACAGGCCAATCTCCCTCATGAACATAGATGCAAAAATCCTCAATAAAATCCTAGCAAATAGAATGCAGCAAATCATCGAGAAGATCATACACCATGACCAGGTGGGATTCATTCTAGGGATGCAAGGATGGTTCAATATTCGAAAATCTATAAATGTAATACACTATATCAATAGAACAAATCTAAAAACCACATGACCATTTCAACTGATGCAGAAAATGCTTTTGACAAAGTGCAACACTCATTCATGTTCAAAGTTCTACAGAAAAGTGGAATAGAAGGTCTCTACTTTAATCTGTTAAAAGCCATCTATGAAAACTCAATGGCTAATATAATTCTCAATGGGGAAAAACTGAAATCTTTTACTCTCATTCTGGTATAGACAAGGATGTCCTCTGTCACCCCTCCTATTCAATATAGTTCTGGAATCATTAGCTAGAGCCATTAGAAAAGATGGAGAAATAAAAGAAATAAGAATAGTTAAATAAGAAGTTAAATTATCATTATTTGCAGATGACATGATACTTTACTTGGAAGACCCAAAAAACTCCACCAAGAAGCAACTAGAATTGATAGACAAATTTAGTAGCATAGCAGGATACAAAGTCAATACCCAAAAGTCAACAGCATTCCTCTACACGGATAACAAACACACTGAGAGGGCAATTATAGAATCAATACCTTTTACAATAGCCCCGTGAAAAATGAAATATCTTGGAATTCATCAAACTAAAGAAATCAAAGCTCTTTTCACTGTAAATTACAGTACTCTGAAAAAAGAGACCATAGAGGATTTCAGAAAATGGAAATATATTCCCTCTCCTGGATAGAAAGAACCAACATCGTGAAGATGCCATTCTCCAAAAATTGTTGTACAGATTTAATGCAATCCCTATCAGACTACTACCATCATACCTCCCAGACTTAGAGAAATTGTTCCTAAAATTTATTTGGAACCAAAAAAAGACCTAGAATAGCAAAAGCAATCCTGGCCAATAAAGACAAAGCAGGACGCATTACAATTCCTGACTTGAAATTATACTACAAAGCTACTATGATAAAATCAGCATGGTATTGGCAACAAAATAGACCTGAGGATCAATGGAATAGATTAAAAGATGCAGAGGCCACTAGAAACACACTCAGCCACCTAATCTTCGACAAAGGGGCCAAACACATTTACTGAAAGAAAGATAGATAGTCTCTTTAACAAATGGTGCTGAAAAAATTGGCTCTCTACACGCCAAAAACTAGAACTTGGCCCAGGTCTATCACCATGCACTGAATTAAAGTCAAAATGGATTAAGGAACTCAACATTAAAACAGAAACACTAACTTGCCTGGAAGAGAAAATAGGAAGAACTCTTGAAGTCATAGGGATAGGCAAAGAGTTCATGAACAAAAATCAAATCACAAGGGAAATACTTGAAAGAATTAAGAACTGGGACCTGCTCTTATTGAGAAGTTTTTGCACGTCAAAAGAAGTTACCAACAAACTGAAAAGACAGCCCACAAATTTTGAAAAAATCTTAACTAATAAGCACTCAGACAAAGGTCTGCTCTCTAGAATTTATAAAGAACTAAAGAACATTAGGGCCCCTAAATTTAAAGACCCAATCTAGAAATGGGCATCTGAGATGAACACACACTTCTCAAAGGACAAAATTAAAGAAGCGAATAAATATATGAAAAAATGCTCCACATCGCTAGCCATCTGTGAAATGCAAATTAAAACAACACGAGAAACCATCTCACCCCAGAAAGAATGGCTGTCATAAAGAAATCAACCAACAACAAATGTTGGAGAGGCTGTGGGGAAAAGAGAATCCTTCTCCACTGTTGATGGGAGTGTAGACTGGTGCAACCATTATGGAAATCAGTGTGGAGACTCCTTATAAAACTAGGACTGGAAATCCCATTCAAGCCAGCTATCCCCCTACTGGGAATTTTCCTGGAGAAACTGAAAGCATCATATCATAGTGATATATGCATATCTATGTTTATAGCAGCACAATTTGTGATAGCCAGATCTTGGAAACAACCAAGATGCCCATTACATGAGGAATGGTTGAAAAAGATGTGGTATTTTTATACAATGGAGTATTACACAGCTATAAAGAATGATAAACTTGAAGCCTTCATATTTAAGTGGATGCCTCTTGAAGATATACTCATAAGCAAAATAAACCAGACCCACATGTATAAATATCATATCGTCTCCCTAGTATAAGAACTCAAAAGAGGAGTTACAAATAGAAAGGTACAACACAAATAAAAGGAAAGTGAGAACTTGAGGATTGGACACTGAGGAGTGGGCAAGGAGAAAAGCTGGGAAACATGACAGGGGCAAAGACATGCATTCGTACGCACAAGATGGGTCGGGAAGTGATCCTGGGGGACATCAGCAGGTTTTTGAGACTAGTGGTTGGCTGGTGGGATTCTCACCCTAACTGTATATGCTGGTGCCTGTGAGCCAGGCAGCTGCACTGAGGATGGCAATGTGTAATGTAATAGAGGGGTCACACTTGGAGGGCCTGTCATTCTGGTCTTCTCAATATGTTCTTCTTGTCATGACATGCCAATTATTGCCATACTGTCTCTCAAGTAAAGGGTTTTTGGGGTTTTTCTTTCTTTAAAAAAAGGATAATAAATGAAAAAAAAAAAAAAAGACACAAGAATAAGGAAAAAAAAATGTCACAGGTCTGGCCCGTTACAATTCTGCATATGGTTAGATTTCTAAATTTCTTTGTAAGGGGCCGGGGAGATGGCTCAGTAGGATAAGCGCTTGACTGGCAAACACAAGGATCTGAGTTCAAGCCCTGGTTCCGAAACTCAGAATCTTACACTTACACTTGCTATGCAGGTGTTTATGCAGCTCTTTTCAGTAGTTCTTTTTTGTTTTTTATTATTTATTTGGTGTAGGGTCTCATTACACAGCTTGGACTCATAGTGATCCTTCTGTCTTCACCTCCCCGCTGCTGGGATACAGGTGTGTGCCACCATGCCGAGTTTTAGTGGCTGGCACAGTACAATGCCAGTGCGTTGTGAGGTGCCAGGGATCAAACCTGGATCCCTGCACTTGCCAGGCTGGAGCACAGAACACAGAACTATCTCCCCAGCCCTTTTCAGTATTTCCTAAGGCAAAATATTTTTTAGTCTCTTCTCTGTTTAGCCCTCGAATTAGTAGTCTATTTTCTCCGAGTCCATTTTCTTAGCTGCCAACTAATAATATAAACTGCGTGAATGGAGTTTACTTGTAGTCACATCTTTAATTGTAATGACAATCACGAAAGCCTCAAACTTTGTGTAGTATTTTTACAAAAATATGGACATCAGAAAAAAACAGAAGTTTAATTTTGAGTTCACGGTCAATAGCAGCCCTTCTTCATAGCATGGCCTTGCCTCTAATTTTACCTTTAGT